CATGCAATAGGTACACGGTCGATGGCAACTTCTGCGAGCTAAATATACGAGGCACCGTGCCTCGGTAGATAGAGTATACTGCATGCTGGGCTGATGGGACTCTAGCAGACGGAAGAAAGCCCTCCGACAAAGAGAAACCTAAATCCGAAACTTCCCACCCCAATTAAATAAACCCCATGCAGGGCCATGAAGCCCCAAACCCTGCGCCCCAAGTCCGCGACGGCTGGAGCCAACGCTTAAATTTCAATATAGGGTTGGGGTTTATATCGGGGTTTACGGTTTGTTCGGGATCCCCCTTATTCACAAGAATCCCTGTTGCTCGCCAGCCACAGCATGCATGCACGCCAGCATCGGCTGAGTGTTGCGCGCTCATGCGTACGATGAACAACGCTTGCCTTGATTCCAATATTAAGCAATGTTGCCCGAAATGTTATTTGGGCTGGCTCGCGTATAGCAAGCTATGCAAAATCTTGCTCTGCACTCCGATATTGCCCGAAATGTTATTTGGGCGAGACAACATATATCAAGCTATGCAAAATTAATGTCAAAGCTGATCGATCCTTCCTTTCTTTCACCCAGCAGCCAACCAGCAGTTGTACTGCAGCAACCAACGCTGGAGCACTCTGGACGACAGTGTTGCCGCATGAACCGCCCCCTTTGTACATGCCATAACTTTTCCGATGAAATCTTCTTCGAGATTGCATCCTGCATGCTTGGGGTTTAACCGGCTTGTGCTCAATCGGCATATGACTTCACAGTGGAACTGGTGGAACTTCGGCCGAACTTTGTACCTGAGTTTCTCATGATAGTCTTGATTCTGAATACACCCCACATCGCCGTGTATGTCTTCACCTGTGGCACAGACGACTGAATGCTTAGACGAGAGACCGTGGTAACAGCATATCGAGGTATCGCGAAGCCAAAGCCAGGTACGAGTGGCAATACCATCTGCCGAGCCTTGGATCATCACAGCGGGATAACACGAAAGTTGGGAACTGCAGGCAGCATGCAGCACCACGATGCAGCAAGGATTCTGTTGTGCCAGAATTGCCTGATCATCCGTCAGCCAGATCGGGCAGTTGTCCAGCAGATTCGCGAAAGCTGTTATCGACCAGGTATTCACTGCCGCCAATCGAAGCTCGGGAACCGATTCGGAAAGAGCCTCAAATGTTCTTGACACTCACCTGAAAACGCGGACCGTGCATCTTGACACATGCAATATCGCAAGGGAAGCGGCAGACAGCCGATCGGCCAAGTATGCAATCCTGGGTGCAGTGTTTGTGTTGTTTGGGTTTCCGGTTTCACTGTCGCTCTCGCTGCCTCTCTCGCTCGCTCTCTCGTTAATGCCAAGCTACAGCACGCGATTGGCCCACCCCTTTCCAGGTCCCAGTGGATAATCCAATGAGACCGCATCGACCCCCAGCTTGATTAGACCTCAGACAAGCACGAACGCATGACACACAAAACCGTCATCATGCAGGCCGTGCTTCAAGCACCCGCAAATATACGAGCAGCTAGGTGACTCAGTCCATCGAGAAGGCTGGGTCGAAACTGGTGCTCTTTGCACCACATCTGAAAGTCGCCATGCAGATGGTGCAACCTCTCATCCCATGTTTCGTAGGCCTGCAGCTGCGGGGAATATGTGGCCAGCTCCATAACATGAGAGGCTGTGGCCTCTCTCACAGTCCCCAAATAGAGGCAATGGAGCAGATCTGGATATTCACACGAGTGATGGTAGCCAGGAATTCTCCACATCCTTAGATGAAACTTCGCGGCCCAAAACTGCGAGCATCACAGAGGCGCCTGCTCAGCCACAGAAGCCTGCAAGCATAAGTCAAGCCCGGTGGCGGGATGTTTGGGCCAACGCCTAAGAGAAACGAAGCACCGCACGCAATAAGTGACCTCTGCACACGTACAAGTCAACTTGCACACTGTGCTTGCACTGCGTTATATCATGGTCTGCATGTTAGGTGCAGTCAGCCGCAGCTTGTTGCAGATCGCCCGGGTTGTCCCAACCCTCCTGCATGTCAGCCCAGTGCTTGCCAGGCGTGCTCCCATCGCAGTAACACCGTGCACAGATTCTGCCAGCATTTTGGCCACGAGGAGCATTGCTTGCCAAATTCCCATAATGCCGAACCTGCTGTAACCATTCCCGCTTGTACTTCCAGTCGCCTTTGCTTATAACTGGGTGTAATGTCCATCCATGCTGGCCTTCGGATTCAGGGTTCCCAGAAATCTTAAAAGAATCTGCGAAGTGTCGTTGCAACCCTTCCAAAGTCACATTCTTGGCATTCTCGTACACGAATCTGTCCGCTCGCACGACCTCGACATGTTGATGTACACTGTCTGCGCAAATCAGACGACCTGAAACCCATACATGTGGTCGTGGAATGAAAG